TGCCTACCACCTTAGGGAAAGAGTAGGGGAGGGAGGGAGAAAGGGATAGAATTTGGAACTCAAAACTTTTTTTAAAAAAATGTTAAAAACTGTTTTAACATGTAATTGGGGGTTAAAATATATATATTTATTTTAAAATGATGACCTGGAAAACATTAACAAATGGAAAATTTTCAGATCACCAAAAAAAGAAAAAAGAAAAAGAAAAGAGAAGAAGGAAGGGAGAAAAGAGAAAAAAATTGGGATTTTAGCTAGGCAAGCGAGGGAAGCCAGGAGCAGAGATGAGGGGACATGGAGTACAGCTAGTGAAAATGACCAGAGTCTGGTATCTTTTTCAAGAAACTGCAAGGAAATTGCTGTCACTGAATTACAGTGCTTGGATAAGTTAGGCTTAAGACAGGAAAGGTAGGAGGCAGACAAGTTTAGAGGGCTTTTAGGGTCTTTTCAAGGCCTAGATCTATGATCCTTTGGGTAGTTTAAGGGACTAACACAATAAAGAAAATTGGGGTTCTCTTTGCTCGTGTCCTTGATAAAGTCACCTCTGGGAGAGTAGCCATGGTTCCAAAGGTTCTATCAAAGACGGCAGCGAATTTGACAGAGCCTGCTTGAACTGGGTTAACCTGAGGTTGAACCCTGATTGTTTGTAGCTAGGAGAAAGGCAGCTTCAGGGGCCTACCAGGCTATCAAAAGGGGGGAGGGGAGAAGAAGAGGACTTTTTTGTTGTTATTGTTGTTGTTCGTTCTTAGTGCTTGAAGAGGACCAATAACATCACAGGTGATGTCTTGACTTGCAAGTGAATGGATTTAAGTGAGGCAGAACTGTGCAAAGTCATCAGCCCCACTCTTCCAAAGTCATCAGAGTCCAGTGGCAAGACACAGGTCAAGAAGACTGGCAATGGTCCTGGATGCAGTGGGAGACCATGGCCTTCTTAAGCCAAAGTTTTCCCAGGTCTCAGTTGTCTGAGGCAACAACCATTCAATAATTAAAAAGCTAGGTAAGAATTGAAACAAAAGATGGCCTAGTTTGCCTTCACAAAACAATGGATCTGGGATGGGAAGACCCTTAGAGTTTCTGGCCAGAAACAGTCGCTATTTACACTCACTCTGAGCAATCAAACTCCCCCCCCCCCCCCCCAAAAAAACAACAACAACAACAAAAAAGACAAAACAAAACAAAACAAAAAAAAAACCAGCAAGTGAGGCTTGGGCTGGGACCTATTACTGGCCAATCAGTGAAAGCCAGAGTGATTTGGGTTTAAAGGCATAGTCAAGTAGCTTCATTTGAATCACAATGGACTTTAGGAAAGCCTGGTTTTTCAGAGCTATATTTCAAGAGATTATAAATGAAAACTACATGAGACAAGAGTTAATTGTCCCAGTATCTCAAAAAATGATAGAATAAATAAATAGAGAAGAAAAAAATCTAGCTCCCAAAAGCCAAGATACCTTGAGAAGTATAAGCGACCAAAATTTATATTCCTTTGGACAGAGCACCCACATGTAAGGGTATGACTTTCCATGTAAAAAGAGGGAAAAGAAGATGAGGAAGGGGGAAAGAGGAAAAAAATGAAGAGGAAGAAACTGAAACCAACACATCCTGAAGTAAAGAAACGAAAATGTGTGGACTGGCCAGGTTCAGAGAAAAGTGACTTAAATTTTTTGCTCTGTTATTGGAGCCTTAAAAAAAAAAAACCCACAAGACATCACTATCCTCTCATGCTATGGATCTCAATCTTTCCTTTCTTTTCATTCTCAGTCAAACTCCAAAGAAAAAGCTATCTACCCTCGTCATCTCCATCTCCTCAACCCTTTACAATCAAGCTCCTGAACACACCCCTCAAATAAAATTGCTCTTTCCAGAGTTAACACTGATCTAACTTCCAAACCTGAGGGTCTGGTCTTAGTCCTTGTCTTTCTTGACCTCTCTACTGCATTTGACCACCTTCTCCCTGCTGGATACTCACTCTCTCCTTTCTGGGTTTTCAGGACACCACTCTCCCCTGGTTCTTCTCTCAGCTATAACTGACTGCTCCTCTTCAGTTTCCTCTGCGGCTTTATCATCCATATCATGCCCCCTAACTATGGGTGTTCTCCAAGGTTCTATCCTGGGCTCCCTCTTCTCCCTTCTCGATACTGTCCCTTGGTGATCTCATCAGTGCTCACAGTTTTAACTACTATCCCTATGCAGATGATATCTACATCTACATATATGTATACATATATACGTATCTGTACACACGCATATACGGATGTGGATGTGGACAAAGTGCCAGGCCTGGAGTCAGGAAGCTCATTTTCTTGAGTTCAAATCCATCCTCAGATACTTACTAGCTGTGTGACCCTGTGCAAGTCACTTAACCCTGTCTGCCTTAGTTCTTCACCTGCAAAATAAGCTAGAGAAGGAAATGGCAAACCACTCTAGTACCTTTGCCAATAAAATCTCAAATGGGGTCATAAAGAGTCAGATGCAACTGAAACAACCGAACAACAACAAAAATGAGTATCAGTCAGTCAAGAAACATTTTTTTTACGTGCCTACTATTATGCTAAGTGCTGGGGAGACAAAAAGAAGTAAAAGACAGTCTCTGCCCTCAAGGAGCTCAGAATCTGATGGGGTGACTGGAAGCAGACAGATACGTACAAACAAGCTATATAATGTATGTGTATGCGCATATATAGATAGGTGTGTATGTGTGTATATATGTATATATGAGTGTATGTATGCACATACACATATGTTTATCTAAGTATATCTATCTGTATCTAAGTGTGCATTATACCTATCTATCTATAGCCTATCTGGCATTTTCAAATCAATGTCCTTAGAGACATCTCAAACTCCACACATTCAAAACAAAACCCATCTTCCCTCCCAAGCCCTCGGTTCTTCCAAACATCCTTATCCCTGTTTAAGGCAGCCTCAATCGCCCAGTGTCCAAATTTATAACCTTGGGGTTATCCTCAACTCTTTGCCTTCCCTCACCCCTCTGTAGCCAATCAGGGCCAGATCTTTCTGTTTCTACGTCCACAGCATCAATAAGCTCACAGAGCTGCCCATTTCCTTAGGCCATCATAACCTCTCTCCCCACTCAAACCCATCCTCCTTCCACTCACCTTCCCAAGTGAGTTGCCCTAATTGTGGATCTGACTGTGACAAATGTAAGCTCCTCTATTTAGCTTTTAAAGCTCTTTACAACACGGCCCAGAATGATCGTGACCAGATTTATTGTACGCTCCTCTTGGGTTCTTCAATGCAGCCCAAATGTTCTTCTCTCTGTTCTTTCCATGACAATCTCACCTCCCATCTTCATGCCTTCGCACTGGTCATTCCTCCTGCCTCACCTTTCCTTCGTTGATTTCCCTTCTTCCTTCAAGATGCAGCATGATCCTCCCAACTGCTAACACCTCCTTCTCAACCCACTTATATTTTATTTTCTTTCTATTTGCTCTGTATGAGAGGCAATCATGCATTTGGACAGAGCTGACCCTGAAGCCAGAAAGAAAGACCTGGGTTCAAGTCCCAACTTTGTAACCCTAGGCAAGTAACTTACCCTCTCTGTGTTCTAGGCCAGAGGTTACTGTTTTGGCCTCTAAGAGTCTTTCAAAGCTGCCTAGAGCAGTGGTCTCAAAGTGTGATCCAGGGACGTCAAGGGGTCCGGTTCCCCAAAGCCCTTGTAGGGGGTCCATGACGTCAAAACTACTTTCTTAATGCTAAGATGCTGTAATTTCTAATATGGTAAATATTGATAGATGTAACTCACATAAACAAAAACTCTTTGGAGAAGGGGTCATCAATCATTTTTAAGCTGCAGAGAAGGTGTCGACCTTTATAGATGAACTTTACTCACCTAGAAGTTCCCTTTTCCAATGAAATCACAGGTCCAGACCCTTTCTCTATATTTATTTTATGCATATTCATATATTTATTTCAATTAAATAATAAACTCCCAATAAAGTAATAAACTAATTAAGAGTAGGGGATGTTCCATATTTTGGTTATACTCTGTATCCCCCCTGCCTAACACATAGTTGGCCAGTCATTCTCAGTCATGTTTGACTCTTTGTGACCCCATTTGGGATCTTCTTGGCAAATATCCTGGAAAGATTTAACATTTTCTTCTCCAGCTGATTTGACAGATGAGAAAACTGAGGCAAACAGGGTTAAGTGACTTGCCCAGTGTCACATATCTAGTAAGTGTCTGAGGATGGATTTGAACTCAGGAAGATGAGTCTTCCTGACTCCAAGTGGGCACTCTATCCACTGAGCCATTAGATGCCTGAAAGCACATAGCAGGTACTTAATAAATGCATGTTGATTTATTGGATCTTGTCAACTCATTATCATCCAAAGCCCTTATTCCAACCACCCCCCCACTTCCTCTTGTAACAACTCTAAACAGAATTATAAGATACAGTGTTGTAGAAAGCTTAACATTTTTAATCTGGTAAGAAATCTTTCTTTATTTTCTTCCTGTGAGCATGAAAAATTATGCAATCTACTGATAGCTGAATATTACATACTATGTGGGCACGCGTGTGTGCCCACACACACACACCCCAAAAGCCCTGTTGAGATGACAGACATTCCAACTTGATCACATTCCATACTCCAGGCATAATATCTCTTTCCTTGACACTTTCAAGTTTATCTTCACAAGACAGAATTACTGGGGGTCTTGTTACAAACCGAATTACCACCTATTGAACAGGTTGGCACTGATTAAACTTTTATTGAAGATCCTTTGATGATGTGCAGAACTCTTTAAAAGTCCAAATCTTAATACAGTGCATTGCTTTTTAAGAGGACCCAAGATGAGAATTTTCCCCCCAAACTTCAGGGCAGGCCAACAGGCCTACAGAACAATGTGAAGGATGAGAAAGAGTTCAGCTTCCATGGCACATCTACTCTGGAACATCAGACCACTGCTAATTTTTATCCTGAGATTCAAAAAATGTACTAATTGTTCACATTAACCAAAACTGTAAAAGTGAGACTCTTACCAAGGTCATCTTCAATTTGTCTGTAACAGCTAAATTGTAGTTGTGAACCTTCTCTTTGATTTCTTCTTTGCTAAGATAATTGTGGGTTTCCTTCTCTTTCTCAACATCCTAAAAGAAAAACAAATCACACCACCCATTAGCAATCTGAGACAAAATTCGATAAGCCAGGGTTCCTTTTACATTCCAGGAAGAACAACCTTGGTGCATTTAACCTTGATACACACCCCACACCCCACATCTCCCAACCCAGCTGCAGTTCTCAGCCATCGAGCGTCCACCGGCCCTGCGTATTTAAAAGCAGACTCTCAAACCACATTGATACATGTGGCATTTGTTTCAAAATCCCTCCTGCTAAACAGTCAGTTCTTGGTACGAGAAACCATTCTGCCCAAGTAGACAGCTAAATTACTTCCTTCTCTGATCTAGACTAACAATATTTAATGCAGTATTTCAAAAGCACCCCCCCATCCCTAGCCCCCAGAAGAATTCATGAATCTGGATGTTCCAGATCTGCTACTCCCCTCCAGAGGGGAGGATGGCAAATCAATAAATATCGACTGGAAAATAATCATATTACGTGCAAAGGGCAATTTAATTTCCTGAACCTCAGGTTACAAGGAAGTCATATAATCAGGGATCATCGTGATCACAGACCACAGGTCTATGGAAGGTCCTCTAATCCAAACTCCTCTTTTACAGATAAATAAAGTGAGGCTCAGAGAAGGTAAAAGATTGACCCACAGTCACACAGCAAGGTAGGAGCAGAGCTGTGCTCAAAAAGAAGTCTTGTGCCTTTCCCACTAAACCATACTTTTCCCCAAGTTGAAGATCAGGTGTTCTTTTATTGTTGTTCAGTCTTCTGAGTCGGGTCTGACACTTTGTGAACTGATTTGGGGTTTTCTTGGCAAAGATACTAAAGTGGTCTGCCATTTCCCTCTTCAGCTCATTTTACAGATGAGGAAACTGAGGCAAACCGAGTTAAGTTACTTGCTCAGGGTCACATAACTAGTCAGTGTCTGGGGCTGGATTTGAACTCAAGGTATTCCTGACTCCAGGCCTAGTCATTTCCTTTTCTAGCTCATTTTTTTACAGATGAGGAGACTGAGGCAAACAAAAAATGTGTGCCTAGGATCACATGAGTAGTAACTGTCTGAGGACAGATTTGAATTCAGGAAGATGAGTCTTCCTGACTCCAGGTCTGGCATTCTACCCACTGCGTCACTACACACACACACACACACACACACACACACACTCTCTCTCACGCAAGCAGCTACCCCAAATGTGCCTTAGCATTCTAAAACAAAACAAAACAAAATGGGGACTTTCAGGAAACATAGCTAACTATTGTGGGGAATCACTAAAATTAAATATCACTAAAAAAATCAATCAGTAAACAGAGTAATAGCTAACACTTATGGAGTGCTTTAAGATTTGTAAGGCAGTTTACATACACAATTTCCTTTTATCTTCACAACCACCTTGGGAGGTAGATACTCGCATTATCTTTATTATACAGATAAGGAAGGCTGAGGGTAATTGACTTGCTTAGGGTCATATAGCCACTAAGTATCTGAGGCAGGATTCAAACTCAGGTCTTCATGATTACTGAGACTCCCAGTCTATCATTCTATCCACTAAAGGGAGGTAATGTATGCAAATTGCTTTGAGCCGACTATAGAAATACCCAAAGACCCAGAGCATTAAATAATGATTGAAATGTAATCACAATCACCTTATCCCTCACAGACTGCCAGGGTTGGGAACATTATTTGAGGTTTTAAAACTCAAGAGAAACGATTTCTCATTTAAAAAAAAAAATTGGGATAAAAGGAAGTGGCAGCAGATTAAAAAGCAGTCACGGACGTAGTCTAGAAATAATCAGTTCGATTGTATAAAGAGCAATTAAAATTTGGATTAAACCATTTCTTCCCCACCCACCTCCCTATGAAGCTTTCGAACACTTGTTTCCTACAACCCAGACACTTCACGCTTGCACAAACCCAATCCTCATGGTTGGATGTTATCCAACCTACCATTTGTTCCCAATCCTGTCAGTGCAGCAACCAGGGTTATAAATACCCTAAGCATTTCTACTACAGTACCATACTCACACCAACACCATATATAGCCTGAAATTGTCCTTTGGTTCTCAAGCTCAGGGTTGTTTAAGACTTGGAGAGAGGAACCAAGTGGGAGTGCCAGCCCATTCCCTGTGAAGAAAAGCCGGCTTGGGCACTACCTTGCTTAAGGCATGTAAGGTCAGCATTTGGTTTAACTCTGGGGAAAGAAGACCAACTCAAAAGCATATGCTCACTCCACGGCTTTCATCAGGAATGTCTATGCCTAATGTCTCTTGCAGTCATTTCTAATTTGCCAGGGAGGAGTCAATCACCACCATCCCCCAAAAATCTTCTTTTCAGGAGTCTTTGGTTAGGCACAAAGACTGTGGATTCAAATAGCTGCTCAGAATGCCCAGGTCAGAAAATTCATTCTCCTTTATTAGCAAGGATTTCTACAACACCTCAGAGAAACAACACGTATTCACCATTCTCTCCATCACAGAGAAGTGGAAAACAAGGCTGTTTTTCTTCTTCCTCCTGGGAAAGGTTTTGTTTCTACTTTCATCATTTCTTAAGGCCTTTTGGCCTATATATACACTAGAGTTTACCTAATTCAAGATGGGGAACAAGGATAACCAAATGGCATTTATGCCGAAAGAAGGGCAGACCACAGGAATCAGATGCTGCTTTCAAGGTTGGGTTGGGAGTAACCACTGTTCTACTGAATTTAATTTTTTTTTTTAAGTACTCACCATGTGGCAAGGCATGGTGCTAAAGGAAAATGGACGAAAATGAATAAATTCTGCTCTCAAGGAATTGAGAGAGGACGGGAGCAGAAGGAAGGGAGAGAATACACCTTGGAAATCCTTTCAGATTTCCCATTTATGGCTGTATTTTCAAGGTTTTTATAACTAGCACCATTAAAAGAGTAGACAATACCTAACACAGGTGGACCAGATGCTCTCTGTGGGCCTTATAAGGCAACTAGCCAGGTGGGGTTTATAAAGGCAGGGCTGGTGGATTCCTTTCAGGCTGGTTTTTGTTTTCCTTTTTTTAATATGAAGCATATTCAAATCAAGTTTCAATTATCTATGTCAATAGTTATTACTGTTACCATGTTTATTATCCTTTTGAATGATGCTTTGTTTAGATGTTAACATTAGGTTTGGGTATTCCCTAAGCAATGTTGACTGATAACTACAGGAAATAATAAGAAAATCTTACCAGGGTGGTGAGGATAGAAGAAAAATGTGTGAGGAACCAAAAGTAAAGAGCTCAGGGCTCTAATTTCTGCTCTGCTCCTGGAAGCCTTCCCCAAACCCTCTTAATTCCAGAGCGGGGGGGAGGGGGGAGAGGGAGAGACACACAGAGACAGAGAAAGAGAGAAGGAGAGAGAGAGAGAGAGGGAGAAAGAGAGAGAGAGTGTATGTGTGTGTGTGTACACACACACTATAGATTGAATCAGGACTAGACCAAACAATCTCTAAGGTTCTTCTAAATTCTAAAGTCCAGATAGCTATGCTTGACTCAGGATATATAAGCCAAAACAGGGAAATGTGTCTAAAATCCACTGCTCCTTATCAAGAAATCAAGTGGGTTTTATTCACTAAAAAGCAAATGAAATCTAAAAAGCGCCCCGATACACTGGGAATATAAGGAAGTCAGCATGAGAAATAAACTGCAAACTGGTTCTAATTTTAAGCATTTGCTGAGCCCCTATTATGTATCAGACACCAAGCTAGGCCCCAAGATAGAAAGAAAATGAAGGAAAAAATCTCCACTCACAAGGACCTTATATTTTTATGGAAAAGACAAATAAGTACATACATAAATATAAAGAGAATAAATTCAAACAGCTTCCAGTTTACCTTTTCAATCACATCTATGTCTTACTTGGTTCGAATTCACCTCTCAGCCACCTTTATGAAAGGCACCTGACCTGATTCTCTTCTAATTCTTGTTATAGTATAATAATCTTTAATATTTGAATCACATATCCATTTTTTTTTTAAAGAGGCAATGGGGGTTAAGTGACTTGCCCAGGGTCACACAGCTAGCTAGTAAGTGTCTGAGGCCGGATTTGAACTCAGGTCCTCCTGACTCCAGGGCCAGTGCTCTATCCACTGTACCACCTAGCTGCCCCTATCACATATCCATTTTGATTTATTGTGGTGTATGGTATTAAGATGTTGATCAAAGCCTAATTTCTGCCATACTGTTTTCTAGTTTTTTAAGACACAACATTTCCCTATTCTGGGTTAAGTATCCTGAGTCAAGCAACAAGATTAGGATTTCAGAATTTAGAGGGACCTTAAAGATTATTTGGGAAAATAAAAAATAAATTAAAAGTTAAGAATGCAAACGAGGAGCTCATCTGTAGGTAATTTATGTTTTTGTATTTATCAAACACTAGATTACTGAATTTAATTATTTCTTATTCTTTCTTATCTAACTTCTTTCAATGACTGGCTTTTCCAGTTCCAAATAGTTTTGGTGACTTTTCTCTTATAATATAGTTTGAGTTCTAAAAGTGAAAAACTTTCATTCCCAGTTTTTTATTTTGTTTTTGGAGACAGTTGAGGTTAAGTGGGCCACACAGCTAGTAAGCATCTTAGGAGGGATTTGAATTCAGATCCTCCTGACTCTAGGGGCTATGCTGTATCCACTGCACCACCAGTTTTTAAAAAATTAATTTTCCTGATATTATTTCTTAGTGTTAGACCTGGAGAAATCATTTTTGGAGAAGACGGAACACCTTTGTTCCCCCTAAATCAGGAAGAGACCCTCCCCCAATACTCCAAATGTTATTGCTTACTTGACCACTTGTGCAACTTGAACAGAAGGGACAGAATTTGTGTCTAGAAGAAATAATGCCTGCAAGCATTTTCAAACTTTAAAAGACACAATTTTAGGGGCAGCTAGGTGGCGCAGTAGATAGAGCACAGGCTCTGGATTCAGGAGGACCCAAGTTCAAATCTGGCCTCAGACACATAACATTTACTAGCTGTGTGACCCTGGGCAAGTCACTTAACCCACTGCCTAGCA